TGAGATGTGAAGCCCAAAGAGCTGTGAACCCCATGCTTCCAGCAATTACAGGACTCCATAGCTAAAGTTTGGTGAAATCAACTTTTGCCTTATTGTTCCAAATCCATGACTTATTTTCCACTTTCTGTTAGTATTGTTATATCTTAACTTTCTTGTGCCCACTATCACGTAGACTCCAATTTCCTAACGTGTTCCCTAATGGACATAGAAAATTCTAGTTGAAATAAATAAAAATGGATATGAATAGTTTTCTATGTGTATCATATTAGAGTTTTATCAAATTACTTAAAATCCAATTTCTCTAAAATATGCTAGGTATCTTTTTGCCATTCATTTGAGCAGTTTAGTAATTTAATCGTAGCTAATTATTATGGTGACCCCCACTGGGCAATAAAACTCTAGAACTTATTTTGCCTATGTAACTACAACTTTGTATGCAATAGCCAATGTTTCAGTGTAGATAAGTGTAAATATGGATAAGTGCACAATACTTCATTAAATATACATGTACAAATCACTTTGAACTTTGGTTGTCACCTGGGGAAGTGAAAGGATAAGTAGTGGATTAAAATTAAGATTGCGACTAAGATTAAGTTGTCAAACAGGTTTTCTTTGATTGTTTCTTGAACCCGGGATGGATCAAGTGCAAGAGTTTAAGGTTAAATATGTTGTATTCTGAAAACAAAACAAAACAAAAAAACCAACTACCTGATTCTTAAGGAATAGTTCAAAATATTAATTTACAAATTAGCTTCTTATTGTGAACATTTTTCTAGGGGAATAAAAATAAAGATAAGAATTTGGAGGCATTTTTAAAATTCATTTTTTCAGAAGGCCTAACAGCTGCTTTGGGATTTATTATGTCCATTAAAAATTGTACCTCCCAATTGGCCAGGCTCTGTGCTAGATACTTTATATACATTGTCTCTTATACAGTACACTTTAACTGGCAGCCACCAATTTGGAATTCCTGTTTATCTGTAGAAATTATTAAAACAAACACTTTGAAGTTTATATTTTGAGCTCACTTATTAAAAAGGCAGACTTTTGATGTGAATATATCTTACTTTTTCAGTCCTTGTTAAGAAATAGTTATACTGAGTTTTTTCAAATTCACAAATTAGTAGTTTTGTGAATACACAGCTATCCTGTGAATAGACCAAAGTGATCACTAATATTTTCTCTGTAGTTCACTATTGCAACTTTATTTATGAATACACTATATACTAATAGAAACAAACATTATAAAAGGAGGGAGAATTTTGTGAGTTTTAATGATTACTTACTTCACCTTATTTTTTTTCAATACTCAACACATCATTCAGTGTTAAGTATTTTATACTCAACAAATTTACTTAACAAATGTATTTTAAATTTTTTGATGTTAATGTTTTTTAATTTGTGAATAAATTTGGTATGAAAAGACAGTAACTTCTGAAATGAGACGAAGTGTATTTTTATTAAAAATATATAAATTATTATTTAGGCTATGAAATATAGAATCAAATACAAAGCACATATTTTATCTTCTACAGTCTCTACTCTTTGGAGACTTTAAAAGACTTCCTCAAATTAAGAATATTAATATTTCCAAAAGGGCGACATTGCGATAAATGAGGCAACACCAGTGATAAACAATAAAAGCAGCAAAACAACTCTTTTACTGTTAGAAATATCTACAAATTCATTGTATATTTTCATGCTTATTATTGAGATTCTTTTATAATGAGAAAAATAATCATAAACATTTATTTGTTACTTAAATGCAAAACTTTTTACTTAGAAAATGAAGGAATGGGGGCTGGGGATTAGCTCAGTGGCACCCTGCCTGCCTCACAAGTGCAAGGTTCTGAGTTCGATCCCTGGTACCAGAAAAAAAAGTGGTGGGGAATGAAGGAATGAAATTTTGTCTGGGACATATTTTAATCTGCTTTGCAGATGAAACATATTTGTCAGTTTTGATTTTGAACTATTTGCAAATAGTTTTATTTTTGCTGAGCACATACAGATTGATACAAGTGAAATATTTCAAGACTAAGCCGGATTTTTAAAGCATAAATATTAGAGATAATTTTTTTTTAACTTTTTTTGGGGGGGTACCGGGGATCGATCTTGGGTTCTTGCGCTTGCACAGCAGGCGGCCAAACCACTGAGCTAAATTCCCGGCCCCTTTAGAGACAATTTCTAAGAGGTAGTTGCAATGTGTGCCTCGGTGTCAGTGGTATGGATTTGGAGGCAAGCAACGATTTTAGAGTAAAATAATTCACTATTTCACTTAAACTCATAAATGATAACGTTCATAACATCCTGGAGCCATGGGTCAAGTTCTTCTGGAAGTGGACTTTGAGTCTTTCTTGTGAGTGTTTCGGGGAACATTTCCTGTGAGGAGTGAGGGATACAGAATCTGGAAGAGAAAGGAATAGGACTGTGTTGCAGTCACATTAGAAGTGAAATAAAGCTTCAGAATATTCTGCCTCAAGGCAAGGGGCCACCTATTTAACCCCGGTAGTAACCAGTCATTGTCAAGGGATGCCAAACCCTTTCCTCTGAGTGTCTTCCCTTCTGCCCCAGCCAGTTTATGAAGAGGATTTTAGGTGAGGGCCATCAGCCTCTACCACTGTAAGCAGCTGGCTGAATGAGTGCCTTAGTTAGCAGGGTCTGGAAAACACCACAGTATCCACTGCTTTGGGATTTGGGTAACAAGTGGGCAGAGAACATGCAGTCACACATCCTCTGCTTTCCTACAATCTTGTTGCATATCTTTTCAAACAGGTGGGAAGAGATGTGGTCCGATATTTTCCCCAACTTTCCAAAGTTCTGTGACTCTTGACTGGTGTTTCTAATATCCTATGAAAGAAGTTCTAGTTGCAATATTGAGAAGGGCTTGGAGGACAGAAGTGGATTGAATTTAGCAATCGAATCAACATTTTTTTGTGTACTTCACATTGTACTAGATAAAATTAAGCTTGAGCTATTCCTTAACTTCTTTGGATATTCTGAGCCAGAGGAGGACTTAAAATAAAATAATTGCAAAATACATTCCTACTCAATTGCGTGCTTATAGTTATAAGACTGTAATGTTTCTGTAAATGCAGCATAAACAACTAAAGATTTCATCAGCTTTATTTTTTTTCCTGTTAATCCTTACCTGGTATGGTGGTTCTTAGGATCAAAGTAATCGATGTATATTAATCTATTTGATATGTGACATACATGAAAATAATTTTAAATTATTTATTGAAATGTGTTAAACTGCACCATTGATTCCATACAAAACTTATTTTACTTTTTAGTTTTCTAAAGAGACACAAACCAAATATTTATTTTGGTTAAGTTTTTATTAAAGAGGAACTTAGAGCAATACCAGCTTCATGGCAGATCTATCACTGGTTTTACGGATGCCCTCTCAGGAAAGGTTATACACCCACACTCAACACACTAGCTGGTGAACAATACAACAAGTTTATGATGTTCTCTGGAGAACGTAGACTTGCTACATTTTGCTTTTATCTGTTTGTTTTAACATCTTTCCTGTTTCCTGCCTTGTGCATTTTAAAAATTGGTTTGCTGATTTGAATTTCAGTTGTTGGCCTTGTTCTTGTTGAGGAATATTGAAGGAGGGAAGTTAAAACAGTGAGAAAAATACTACTTTTTTGTTAATTTGGCTCCAGCTGATCTTATACCTGGGAGCAGGAGAGCTGATGGTTCTTGCATGTGGTTAATTAAATCCTGTGCTGATGGTTTTTGTTGTAGGCATTAAGTCAGCCACCTTGTTAGCAGATTCTCTGCCCAGCAGGGTTAGACTTATCCCTGGGGAATCAAGAGTGTTTACTTTGTGCTCTAGTGACTGAGGGCAGGAGAACCGTCCATGTGCAGTTGGCCAGAGAGCTGCTCTTGAGTTTTGTAAAGATAATTTGTATGAGGCCTCACCCTATTTTGTTGTAAAAATGAGCTGGCTGGCAAGAAAGTGGCACAGACATGAACTTACCTTCTCCCTTTAGTCTCCTAGAATTCTTTTCTGTGACAAAGGAAAAATCTCATTGCATTTTGTTTTCCAAATGCTTCTTGGATTCTCACCAGCAGGTTTTTACAGTCTGTTGCTTGCCTCTCAGATTAAAAGAGTGCTGGCATATTTTAACAGTTTCTTAGGATTCAAACAGCCTTTAATTAACAGCCAATTGATGCTTTGGAATGTTATCAAAATATGGGAGACAGAACACTGAGGCTGAGCTTCCATCATTCCAGCTTCTAAACATACTAGAGTCCTAAAATGGGACAGAGGTGTGCGCTTCCTTGCAAAACATGGGACTGCACACTGGTGTGCCTTTAAAGGGGGTGTCTTTGTTGGTATAACATCCCCACTGCCTGCTCACCCTGGTGCCCTTCTACGTGGTGGCAGGCAGTTACTGAACGCCAAAAGCTGTAGGGATGCAAAACAGTTTAGGAAAGCTCTGCTCATAGCACTGAGTTTGCCTGTTTTTAATCCTCTAGTTGCTAAGGTCATCAGATACAGCTGCCTGTGTTTTGGTTAAGTTTCTTTTCTGTGCCAGATTCATGGTATCATACTGCCAGAGTTTTGGATTGGTGGAAAACAGCAGTCTTGCTAAATAACCATTCAGATGTGAAGCATATTCTGAGATTCATCTTCAAAAAGGAAGAGCAAGCAAAGGAGAGGATTTCTATTTCGAATCCAGAGATCTTGGTTCCAGATTTGTTGCTGACCCAATCTAGAACTTTAAGCAGGGGGAAAAAACCAGGTTGTGAGGTTTGATTGTACTTACATAACCAGATAGTTATATCCAAGGACAAGAAGCAGCTCCAATAGCTCTTGCTGCCTAGTGCAAATGTGCTGATTGGCCAATTCTCAGTTAAGGAAATAGACTCCATGTAGTGTTTTTTCCAGTGACCCATAAAGCTGGCTTTTTTGTCTCAACAGAGATTGTGGTGTTTTCTCCCATGCCTGGTGTCCCTCATCTCTCCCTTTCCTATTGTCTCTGCAGGTGGTACATGCCAGAGTCCTGCTCTCCCAGCCCTGGTCCGTCCACCAGCCCCTCCTTTGCAACCATCGCTGGATATTAAACCATTTCTTCCCTTTCCTCTTGACACCGCAGCTGCAGTCAACCTTTTCCCCAATTTTAATGCGGTGAGTACCAAAGCCCAATCTGCCTGAGTGATAAGGGCTGGAAAACTTTAAAGGCCAGGGGTGTTTCCCTCACTGCCTCTGTTTTCTTATAATGTTTATTCTGTGGTTTATTCTATCTGAAAGCCATGGTGAAGTTAATTGTCTGCCTTGTTATACAAAGTCCCCAGAGTCAGGCTCATTAAAAGAAAAATGTCAAAAGATTGGATCTTACTGGCTTGATCATGAGTTCATGTTGCCCCTTACGTGACTTCTGGGTAACATCACCAACTCTGTAATTTTGTTGAAATATGTAAAATTGAAATTTAACATATGTGTTAGAGAGATGGAAATTCACATACATATCTAGAAAATTAAATGACTCCTTGTTTCTTTTGGCATTCTACTTTAATTTTCAAATCTATTGTTTCTTTTCTAATATAATAAAGAGGACCCTGACAATGACAATAGTGGTAGATTCTATGTACGTTGCACATATTTCCTCTTTAATTTCAAACAACTCTAAGCTCTGGTAGCAAAAGTTTTAATAATTTTTTCCTTCCTGTCCAGTCATAATTGAATCAAGACTTTCTTAAAGTGTTTTGTTTCTTTGGGCTTTGTCAATAGCCTGCTCAGCGCAAGTTCAGTTATCGCTCTGCATCTATTTTCACCTTTAAGATACCTTGGTAAGTTGGCAGATTCATCATATTCATCATAATTCTTTTCTGTGCAAGCTGTGAGGATACTCTTAGGATGGAAATTAAAGTAGGGGTGAAAAGGTTGGAAACAAGTGACTTTTTTCAAACATCTCATTCAGTTTTCAGCAGTTGTTATAATGCAGATCTGAGCTTATCAGTGATAGGATATGTCAAGCCAGTCAAAGCAAAGAGGATTAAAATGAGAGGACACTGAATTCTCAGTAATCTAAATAAAACTGCTTTCTTGTTGCAACATTCTGCCCCCGTGATATTTTTTTTTTAAATCTGTCCATAATTAAATCATTCTTCTTCAGAAGATAGCAGCAGATCTTTTCTTTAATAGTACTTCATCACAGGAACTTCAGATATGCCAGTAAGATAGCACAATAATGTACTAGTCATTACTAAAATGAAAGAGAAAATAATAGTCACCTTGCTTTTGTGGAGAAGAGGAATTTTCCATAGGAACTTTATTTTGAAATGGAAAGGGAAAAATAGATCAGCATCAAGATCATATTTACAAAATGCAGGTTTCTAATCCTAGTTGTTTCAATAAGACTAGAGAAAAACTTGCTCAGCATCAAATTCCCTTATTCATAAATGATGATACCGATGTCCCCTGGGTTCCTTTCTCCTGAGCTCCTTTTCTGTCATTCAGTTAAGTGCCTTCCTGGCACAACTTTGCTCCCAGACACCTGGGGGATAATCTATCATGATACCTTACCTGGCATTGGAGACCCCTAGGCATCCTGTTACCTAGGTCCCTTGTCAGCTTTAGAACACTTAGGTGAAAATCTTGGAAGGTTAAAAAAAGGCTGGGTTTGCCCTTTGGGGAAAATTTAAAGCAAACTGATTAATTTCTCATGAGACAGAGATGAGTGATATGCTGAACTGGGTGACACTAAGGAAATCTCTTTACCTTCCACTAAAAGGAGTGAACCTGATAATCTCTTCCTTCAGGTGTTACCCCATCGAAAAATTGAGGAGTTATGTGTGTGTACACATGTGTGTGCAGACAAAGGCAGCACTATATGATGGTCAAGCTGGACTCCATAGCTAGGTTGATTAAAAATCCCAGAATCATCAGAATAACCTTACATAGATCACATATTTTCCATGTACCTCAATAACTTCACCTATAAAATGGAACTAATAATAAACTCTATAGATATGTGATAATGATTAAATTGTTACATTCATGTCAAATGGGGATTGGCATAAAACAAGCACTGTTTATGTAATGAGCATCATGTTCATAAGTAGTTTATAAACCCTGTTGAATTCAGTGTGGTAGTTCATTGATTGCAAAGCTGCGACTAGATTATTCTTCTCACCTGGATTTTGACTTGTATTGCTGTTTCTTCCACTAAAAACATGAGTCTGTCTGTTGTTACACCTATATATTCTCCCCGGTTATTTCCTTCCAGTAGTGGTCTAGATATAGCCAGCTGAGGATTGAGCCTCTCTTTGCTTCCAGCTAAGGAGATCATTATAAAACCCATAATCATGTGGCTTTGGACTTAAAATTAGGGAATGCTGTAGCTTAAGTATGAAGTGTCACCCAAAGACTCATGTATTGACAGCTTCATCACCAATGCAGTACTGTTTAGAGGTGGGGCCTACAGAGGTGACTGGATCATAAAAGTGAAAACCAAACAAGCCGTTTAACCCATTGGTGAATTCATAGCTGAATGGGCTACTAGGAGGTAGGACTCAGTTGGACAAACTAGGTCACTGGAAGTGTGTCTTTGAGAGTATATCTTGTCCCCCCAACCTTCCTCTCTGGTTCTTTCCTTTCTTCTGTGCTTCCTGGCTACCTTAAGTTGACCGTATCACACCCTTCCACCATGATGTTCTGCCTTACCTTAGTCCCAAAGCAATGAAACCAGCCAGCCATGGACTGAAACCTCTGAAACAGTGAGCCGAATAAATCCTTCTTATTTTAAGTTGTTATTCTCAGGTGTTTTATCACAGTGACATAAAGCTATTACACAGCATAAAACATCTCCTTAAGTAACAACCTGAGTTCTTGATTTTACAGCAGATTTGAAACTCAAACCACAAGTTTAGAGTACATGAAATGTAATATTTTATTTCTATGGACTGATTTCTGGTACAGGAGAGCTTATTCCACCAGGCTGAAGGGAAAGCCAGTCTCATTTGGGTTCATCATGTGCTAAGGCTCTGGATTCTAACAGGCCATCAGTCCCGCTTTAGGTGGGAAGCTTCTCAGGTCATGAAGTTATTTGTTTACATAAGCATTCACAAAATGCTCAGCACCTGGTTAGCATGGCCTTTTAAGCACTCAGCTTTTTCTTTGTCATGCTTAGGATCTGCAGGCTTTTAAAAGGCTGTCAGTGCCTTCCTGCTTAGATCTATCACTTAGCTCTTTCTTCTGCAAAGAAGTGATGAGCCACTCTGACACCAAACTACTTTCACCCATCTAATAGTTTTGAAATATGAAGATCAGAGACTATCTGCCTGTTACATTTCTCCACTCAGGTATGAATGTAGAATCGCATACTTGGTGTAGGGTGTGGCAAAAAAGATAATGGCAAATATTAAAAATGTGTTCTTCCAAGGTGAAATATATAAAAACATAAATGGATTTTTCAGATTATTGCCTTACAAGAGTAAAAACCATTAAGTTTAAGTGTGGGTCAGAAAGAATAATGAAGAGTCTCTGAAAATAAGCACAGTTAAGAGGGAAAGGAAACATACATAATCAGAGCTGTGATATAGATATAAAAGAGGATATTCAACAAAATTATTAGGATCTTTTAGTCTCCTGAAAGCTAAAATTTAGAAAGTCATAACAGAATCTGTTTTCTAGGCCAGGAAATGTGGTATATTTCTGAGTTCAGGAGTTTTCACATGAAAGAAAGCTTTCTTTGAATTCTGTCTTGTTTTCTCCTTGCTGAGACAAAATACCCAACACCCAGAGTTAAAGGAGGAAAGGTTTATTGTAGTTTACAGTTTACAGAGGTTTCAGTCCATGGTTGGCTGGCTCCCAGGCAGGGTGGAATGGCAGAGGGGCATCCCAGAGGAGAAACAGCTCATCGCAGGCAGAGGGCAGCAAAGCAGCAAGGGACTACAGCAGTCCTCTTTCTGTCCCTTATATTTTATCCAGGCACTCACACCCAGGGAGAGCCTTCCCATTATCCACTCCCAGAGCTATGCCAAACCAAGCAGTGGACTAATTTAGTAATCACACGTCTTTCATCCCAGCATCACACACTTAAACCCAGCATCACACAACTCTAAATTCAGCCACCTTTGAAAAGCTCTATCTATGACTACATGAAATTTTGGGCGGGCATCTAGATACATGTCATAACAAATTCCTATTGTACCCTTCACTCTGTCCTTCAATCTTACAGGACATCTGAGTTTCAATTCTTAAAAGATTTCTGATTCCAGAGATCCCATCTTGAGTCTCCATTTATTGAACAGAAATAATCCTGGAAGTAGACAGAAAATACATGGAAAATAAATGGTAGGAAATGGCATGAACTTCTTCCATTCAATCAATTGCTATTTATTAAGCACTGCTGTGTTCCAGGAACAACAATAACAAGGATTATGTTATAACTCTTGCTAGGATATTAATTAGTTTGTAAATGGAAAGTTGACAAATAAGGAAATATTTGCAAATATGAGAGCTTTGATAAAGAAAGGTGTACAAGATAGAATGTCAGCTTGGGGATAAGAGTATTATGTATTCCTGTGTGGTTGTCTTAGTGAGGGTTTGTGAGAATAATAGAAACTATTCAGACAGAAAAGGATTTAATCTAAGGATTGAGTTTTTCATAAAACCTTTGAGGGTTGGACAAATAAAGCCAGAAATGACTGTTGCTGGCTCCCTTTTTCTGCTTCCTGGAATTAAGGAAACACAGAACATCCAAGCAAGTTCAATTACTTTCATCTGGATCCCGTGAAATGCCTTTCTTCGATGTAATCTAATAAGTCTGCACCCTCTGGCAGGGGAATGCAAACCTTGGTCTTCTAGTCCCTATGATATGGGGGCAGTGTTGAGTTATCCACAGAAGACTTCAACCAGTTGCAGAACGCAAAGAACTCTGTAGAATTAGAAAAGCCTGAATATGTCCATAACCACAGACAGTATCCTATACTATAAAATTTGAATAGCTAAACAGAATAGCTATACTATAAAGTGAGAATAGCTAAACATCTCTTAGGCTTGTTATTAAGAGGTGTAGGTGTGTTTTTAAATGCTAGAGTTTGATACTGAGAATGGGCATGGGCAAGAGTTTGGAATGTTGTTCAGAATAAGGATTAATCATTAAAAATGATGAGGAAGAGAAG